AAGCGTCTTTTAATTTCATGGCTGCAGTCACCATCTGCAGTGATTTTGGAGCCCCAAAAAATAAAGTCAGCCACTGTTTCCACTGTTTGCCCACCTATCTGCCATGAAGTAATGGGCCCAGATGCCATGATCTTAGTTTTCTGAATGTTGAGCTTTAAGCCAGCTTTTTTGCATAGTTTTCTTTTATATGCAAACATAGCACTTCTTTTCTCTGTTCTCTTGTCAGTGGACATTTTGGTTGTTACAGAAATTTGCTATTATAAAAAATGCTGCTTATGAACAATTCTGTACATATGTCCTGATATAAATGTATGAATTTTTCCAGGGTATATACTTAGGCGTATAATCACTGGGTTGTCAGGTATGTGTGTTTAACTTCTCTAGGTAATTCCAAATCATCTTCCTAAATATTTGTGCCAGTTTACACTCTTACACTTAGCTACTTTGCAAACATTTGGAATTATTAGTTTTTTTTTGCTAATTGGTTTTTAATTAGTATTTTCCAGGTGACATCAATGAGTTGAGGATACATTTATGTTTATTTATTTATTCTTAGCTATTCTGGGTCTTTGTGGCTGTGAAGGCTACTCTCTAGTTGCAGTGTATGGGCTTCTTATTTCTGTGGCTTCTCTTTTGTGGAGCACGGGCTCTAGGGTTCATGGACCTCAGTAGTTTTGGCACGTGGGCTCAGCAGTTGCGGCTCCCAGGCTTTGGAGCACAGTAGTTGTGTTGCACAGGCTTAGTTGGTCTGAAGCATGTGGAGTCTTCCTGGATCAGGGATCGAACCTGTGTCTCCTGCATTGACAGGTGGATTCTTTGCCCCTGAGCCATCAGCAGAACCCCTACATTTATGTTTATTGGCCATTTTCTTTCTTTTTTTTTGAAGTGACTACTTGCTGTTCAGTCATTCAGTCATGTCTGACTCTTGGTGACCCCATGGACTGTAGCATGCCAGGCTTCCCTGTCCTTCACCATCTCTCTGAGGTTGCTCAAATTCATGTCCATCGAGTGGGTGATGCCATCCAACCGTCTCATCCTCTGTCGTCTCCTTCTTCTGCTCTCCATCCTTCTCAGCATCAGGGTCTTTTCCAGTGAGTGGGCTCTTCGCATCAGGGGGCCAGAGTATTGGCGACATTTTTCTATTGGGTTGTTTGCTACTCTTATGACCTATCAGAATCCTATTTGTATCATTGATATTAATGTCTACTTGATTATAAATGTTACAAATATCTCCTAGTTTGTCTTTTCACTCCCTTTATGATGTATTCTAATGTACAGAAGTTCTTAATTTTTATATAATCAGTGATGATCAATCTTTACCTTCATGATTTGAGCTTTTTGTCCTGTGTTTATACAGAACATCCTTCTCAGTCATTATATATGAGTCAGGCTTCAGTGTTACAGTCCTGTCATTCATGGGACTCCAAAATATGGCCTTATTTCCTTTCCATGGTAAGTGACTCTTAAGTCCCTGTGCTTGGCTTATTTTCTGTATTTTAATCAATCCAGTGGACACAGTCTTGGGAACCAGTATGATTATGGTATATCTCAGTGTCACGGAGCAGGTAACTGAAAACTATACCCACCCATTGTATGATGTTAAGCAAAATATTTCTGTGAACTTATTTTAGTGTTCACCTTGTAAGTTCTTGCCTACTTTTATCAACAGAGGGGGAGACCTTAAAAGACTATGTCAAAGTAATACCAAAAGAACATTTTGTGAAATTCCTAAGCACATTCAGTTTACTTTTTGTAAAAATTTGTAGAGAAAGACAGTGTGAAACTGACAGCAGACATGTTGAAAAAAGTATAATCTCAACTGCATAGCATTCCTATATAAAACTTGAAAAAAAGAAAAACTTGAGTTACTCAAGGATTGGTTAGCTTGAAGAATTGTTCTACAAAAGTCCAACTAGACTCTGCCTACCTGGCTTCTGTGTTCTGTAGAGTTTTTTGGCATAATTTATGATGAC